TTCAGTTTTAAAGTGAACAATTTTCAGTGTATGTAAGCTGTAGGTGTGATTCACTGAAGTGTAAGTTGCCATGAATTTTAACAGAGTTTTTCATTTAAGTGTGGATTGTGAGGAATTCAAAATGAATTGCTAATGTAAAGCCACAGTAGCTGATCTGGCCGACTTTGAAAATCTTTCCACTTCAGCCAATTAGGCCTTACATTTGAATCCCTGACATTTGTCATTAACCTTGAATTCTCAACAATTGTCACAGTAAATTTCCTATTTTAGGCCAAACGTTGGGTGGAGAATTATTCTAGCTTACACTTTTATGCCAAAACGTTGAAATATTTCACATACTTAATAAATTATAACCCTAAGAAATCCACCAGTCTTTAACCATCACAATTACTTGCACACAGACTGCTGAACAACACACAGAGACTGCTAAACACATACACACAGACTGCTGAATACACAGACAGACTTCTGAACAATACACACAGACTGCTAAATACACAGATTGCTGAATGCGCACAGACTGCTGAACACACATACACAGACTGCTGAACAATACACACAGACTGCTGAATATACACACACTGCTGAATACATACAGACTACTGAATACATACAGACACAGACCGCTGAACAATACACACAGACTGCTGAATACATACGGACACAGACTGCTGAACACACACAGCGCAGAGAATTGCCATGGTAGCGCTCCAAAGTGCCTGCTCACGGAAGGAACATACAGCCTCCCGGGTCCTCTGCTTTAGCAAAGTGCCAGGAGGCCGGTCAGGGAGTTCTGTGAATTCCCCACTGGCCCGATAAGGCAGACAGCAAGGCTGGCTCTGCATGGGCAGGCAGAGAAGATAAAAGGACCTCCCCTGTTTGCGTCAGCCTATGGACATCACTGTGGGGCCCCAATTCTAGAAGCACTGGATTGGCAGAGATCCTCGAGACTGCTGACCTCAGGCAGGGAGGTGGAGCGGCAGAATGGAGACTGGTGTGCAGCTGGATGCAAAGTAAATTTTACCTATTAAACCCTTGCAAAAGGGAAGAAGGCCTATATACTGTAGTGTTAGGAATACATGTTTGTATTGCTTATGCTATGGTGTTCCTAAAAAAAAAATTTTCATAAAATAATCTCCTCCCTACCTCCTGCATGGCTGCTGGACTCTGTTATTGCTGTATTCAGTCTGAGGGAGCCTGACCAGTGCATTGCTTCACAACCTCAGACGGGACATAGTGATCTGTGCATGGCCCCGCCCACTCAGACAGAACATGGCGATCTGTGTATGGCCCCACCCACTCAAGCGGAACCTCGCAATCTGTGCATAGCCCCACCCCCTCAGACAGAGCTCAGCGATCTGTGCATGGCCCCACCCACTCAGACAGAACCCTGCAATCTGTGCACGGCCCCGCCCACTCAGACTGAACCCTGCGATCTGTGAATGGCCCCGCCCCCTTAAACTGAGCCCAGCAACTTGTGCATAGCCCCGCCCCCTCAAACGGAGCCCAGCGATCGGTGCATGGCCCCGCCCACTCAGACAGAACCCGGCAATCTGTGCACACCCCGCCCACTCAGACTGAACCCTACGATCTGTGCATGGCCCCGCCCCCTTAAACTGAGCCCAGCGACTTGTGCATAGCCCCGCTCACTCAGACAGAACCCAACGATCTGTGCATGGCCCCGCCCCCTCAAACGGAGCCCAGCGATCTGCGAATGGCTCTGCCCACTCAGACAGAACCCTGCAATCTTCTGGAGGGAGAGGACTGGCTAGGAGAAATGACAGGTACACACAGACACAGCTAAATACTGCTTCGCACAGTATACACACTGCTACACATATTGTTCCCCACACTACTACCAGGGCCGGTGCAAGAATTCCTGCAGCCCTAGGCAAAGATTCCTTCTGCCGCCCCATAATGTATGAAACTACATTCTCTCAGAGGTTTATTCACTAAACTCTGAACTTAAGTGAATTTAAAACCGAATTGCAAAGTTTAAGCAAAAACAATTGAACTGTGACTGTAGCCGAATTCTTCTAGATCAGATATTTTGGCCTAAATTTTGCCATTTGGTTTCTAGTTAGGTCTGATCAGCTGTCTCTTTCCACCACAGTGCTCATTGCTCTCTCTTAATCTGTGTATTCTCTCTCTCATCAGCCTGTATCCCCATCTTTCTACTCGGTTTCTTTCTCCTTGCAGTCTCTATTTTCATGATTTCTCTGCTCACTTTCTGTCACCGATGCTCTCCAGCCTGTCTCTTTATTCTTTTGGCGTTATTTACTAATGTGAGAATTGTGGGAATACAAAGTGAATTTCAAATTTAAGGACAAAAATAAACTGGAAACATTCTCCATATGTGGCTCCTCTGACCTTACATTTGAAATTCACTTTAAATTCATTTTGGATCCCCAACATTTCTTCCTTTAGTTAAAAACCCTGTCATTGTCTTTTATCACTTTCTCTTCTTTGCTCTTCCCAGTCTATTCATTAAACACGGAGTTGAAATATGACTTGAAACATTTAGGCCAAAAGAGAAGAGTTATATAAAGTCACCATCTCAACTCTGCTATTTTGACTTGGGTTTTAAAAGATTTGCCAAATCTGTGTTTAGTGAACAGAATCCTAAGTGTTTAAGAGATTCTGCACGAGCTCCCACACAATCCTGGCAACAATGGCTTACTACAGCCCACACAGGTAGGATCCAAGATGATCTAAGCAAGGCTTATTTGCCACTTGCTGAACCGTGGGGTTTGGTGCGCATTGGGTGGGAGAGATGGTCGATCTTCCGACCGGGGGTGCTGTGCGATCTCCAAACCCCACCTTGCCCCAACCTTGGACCTGCAGGGGTGATCTAAGTCCACCCGAGGGAGGCTATCCCGATACTGCTTGAGCACGGGGGTAGAACAGCATTGGCATAAAACAAGTGCGGTGACTCGCCTAAGATGGAAGACAGAACATACGCCCACAGTCATATCGACTATTCCCTCAATGTCCTGACAAAACTGGACAAACTATTTGAGGATTTATGGCGAAAGCTGGAGCACAGACTGCACCAACCTGCCCCACTACAGAAGAGTGATCTCTCACTCTGAAGACCACCTCTATGCCCCATCAAGAAGCTTTGACTCCAGCTGTACGGCAGGCCCCAAGATGGCGGTGAAGTGTGTACATAGCCGTACAGGTATAGTTCCGATCCAGAGCTGAAGCTGGGGATAAGCCTGAGACCCCATGGGGACTCCATATCCTGTCACTCACATACACCAGTTTGTTCCCTACTGGGCCTGGAAGCCTGCAGTGTTTGTCTCTGATGTGGGACTTTGTTCTGCCCATGGAGGGCATAGGATGAATCAGGTGTACAAGGCTCTTGGTTACTCACTTATTCCATCTGCATAGAGCAAACTGGGGATATTTACTGTCCGGTGGTTTAGCCCTTTTGCTTGTTTTCTGCTACTTGTGTGCCATTATTTTGCACCTCACATGTGCTCCTTTCTATCAACTTCTCACCCTTTGGGGAGCCATCTGGGGGAATTACTGTGACAAATAAATCTGTGTTCTCTCTCATGTTTTAATACTGATACTCTATGAAGACCACCATAAATGCTAAGGGCTTGTTTCTTAAACTGTCTGCATGTTTTATTTTACTAACAAAGAGGCTTGTCTAATGTCTACTGATATAGTGACCACCTATTCACGACTAATTGACCTTACCCTAATGCACAAATTATTGCTCACAGTCATGACAATTTCAAAACAAGCAATATTGTAATTTCATTATAATATTGCTTGTTTTGAAATTGTCATGACTGTACCATGGTAATTTCTGTTAAAGCTATACCTCAATAAAAACAAAGATTGACAATAAAAAAAAAAGACATGCCAAGACATTTAGTGGAAAATGTCTGGGAAACTGGGAAACATTGAGGAAAAGGAGACAGACTGGGGAGAAATTTAGGGAACAAGGATGGATCGGTGAGACTGGAAAGACATTTAGGGATGTGGGGGAGAGACTGAAAAGACATTTAGTGAAAGCAGAAGCACTGGTGAGAAAATCAAGAAAGGAAACAGAGCAGGAAGACAATGCGGGAAAGGATAGAGAGATTGTTGAGATATTTAAGATACAGAGTTAGGCTGGATGACATTTTAGGAGAGAGAGACGCAGTGACAAGACATTTAGGAAAGAGACACACTGCCCAATACATACAATTAACCATATACTCACTTTCTAATTCATACATACACACACACTGCCCAATGCATATAATCACATACACACACACTGCCCAACGCATATAATCACACACACACACACTGCCCAACGCATATAATCACACACACACACACGCACTGCCCAATGCATATAATCACACACACACACACGCACTGCCCAATGCATATAATCATACACACACACACACACTGCCCAACGCATATAATCACACACACACACACTGCCCAACGCATATAATCACACACACACACACTGCCCAACGCATATAATCATACACACACACTCTGCCCAACGCATATAATCACACACACACACACTGCCCAGCGCATATAATCACACACACACACTGCCCAGCGCATATAATCACACACACACACTGCCCAGCGCATATAATCATACACAGTGGTGTACTAAGGGGGGGGGGGCGGTCCTCCCCGGGTGCCACCAGGTAGGGGGGTGCCTCCAGGGCTGGCCAGGCTTGTGACTGTGAGCTGTGTGGCTGCACAGGGTGCCTGGAGCCACACAGCTCACACACGCAGGAGCTGGGAATTCAGCAGTACAGAAGTACTGCACGGATAATTGGGGGCGGAGCCAACTCAGCTGTGGAGGCGGAGCCAGACCAGATGCGGAGCTACAGCCAGCCTCCATTTGCTGCCTTTCACTGCAGCACACTGAGGGGAAGCAGGAAGGAGTCCCTGCTTCCTCAACTCCAACACACCAGGGACTCACTGACTCCACTCCTCCACCAGTAAGTGAGAGAGTGTGTGTGTGTGTGTGTGTGTGTGTGTGTATCTCTGTAGTTAAGTGTGTGTGTGTGTGTGTACACACACACACACACATATATATATATATATACACACACACACACACACACACACTTAACTACAGAGATACACACACAACCACAGACATACACAATCACAGACCCACACACAATTACACACATAATTAGATATATACACGCAAACATCACGTGTGTGTGTGTGTGTATATATATATATATACACACAAACATACATACACACACAATCACAGATATACACACACACAGACATACACCTATTGTGTTATTGTGTGTGTATATAAATTTGTATGTGTTTGGTGTCCTTAAATATTGCAATCCCACATAAGGATAACAAATAAGGGCGTTATCTACTAAACAACTGAAATTAAGAAAAGGTTTTTTTTTAAATTGATCTTTTAGTTGTTTAGTTGATAATTCTCTAAATTGGTGTCCTTATGTGAGATTTCCATATTTAAAGATACCAATTAGGGTGCTGTTTAGTAGATAGCTCCCTTATCCTTATTTGGTGTCCTTAAATATGGCAATCCCACATAAGGATAGCAAATAAGGGAGTTATCTGATAAACAAAGATCGACGTTAAGAGGTGTCAGCTAGCCCACGAACAAGAAATCTGGGTGGCTAATGTGAATTATATGCAAATTTGTTGACTGATGCCAATGTGCACAGCATGCTGGCATCAGGCAGCCAATGGCAGCACATTACCCCATCCCCTAGTGAAAAGTTTTAGTGCCCCCCCAGTTTGGATTGTGGTATCTTATGTGCTCACCCCCTATATATTGTTCCTAGAGTCGCCACTGTGTCTCCATGTGTGTCTGTGTATGACTATGTGTGTCAGTGTGTATTTAGGGGTGTGTATGTGTATATGTGCATACATCTCAGTGTATGTGTGTGTATGTGTATATGTGCATACAATCCAGTTTGGATTGTGGTATCTTATGTGCCCACCCCCTATATATTGTTCCTAGAGTCGCCACTGTGTCTCCATGTGTGTCTGTGTATGACTGCATGTGTGTCAGTGTGTATTTAGGTGTGTGTATGTGTATATGTGCATACATCTCAGAATCTCGCCAACACTACGCACAAATACACCCCTGCATTTCAACATCAACACTACATACAAACTCCACCATTATATATAACCACACCACTGCCTTCAAAAACCACACTACATAAAAATGCATGCCTGCATTCAAACGCCAACACCACATACAGACACACATCCTATATTCACTCAAACATACTCCATACAAAAACATGCTTACATTTAAAAGCATAAACACTGCTTAGTGCTAAATATTTTTTTTTTACAAAATTGTGGTTGTTTTTTACATTTTAAAGTGCCCTCGACATCGCTGAAAATCCGGGCTAATAAAACATTTCTCCCAAAGGAAGTGAGGAGAAGATCTTGTACAGGTGATCGGGATGTTATAGCTCTTTTGTGATATAACAGGACAATTGCCAGTAACATATTGAGTTATAGCACAAGTATTAAATCATATAACTATTTATGTCAATTATTATAAAACAGTTCAAAGTTTGATCCTACATAAATGAATGTACACAAGTAAAACCAACACACCACACTTTCTTAAAAAAACCAAAAGAAGTCATTTAATTGTAGGAAAGATCAAAGAAATACACAAAGTTCGAGCACCATTATATTACATGTACAAAAATGCTGTGTAAGTAACAAAACAAAACATTTTTGCATCTCCCATTGGAAGAATATCCAGTGATATGAAATATGCAAAATAATATACATTATAAATGTTAGTGGTTTTTCTATGGCATTACTGTTGGGTAATAACAGCAGGGTTCTCATCCAATAAGGCACCATTCATGCATCCAGGTGGGTCAAGTTATACACCGGTTAATAGTTATCACAGTACACACATTAGCATCAACTGTGATTGACTCGGTACACTATGTGCTCATCTGGTCTCTGATATAGCAGGTGACGTTTGCTAACTAAGTGATGCTTTAAAGCTGACCAGGTTTTTCAAAGCCTTAAAAAAATATAGAGAATTTTCACATTTCTGAAATTTTAAAAGGGATTTTGTTGTCACTTAAATATGCATTTACAGTATACAATACATTTAATACACTATATGCAAAAGTCAATTTTAAGAAGAAAACCAAAAGAATATTTAATCTGCCTGATATCTTGCTGGGACCTGGTATTCAAATTCAGTATTCCCTTTTAAATTATCTGATTTGCATATAGGCTGCATTGTGATGTCACAATTTAAAAGGCCCACTTATAATAACTATGGTGCAGCTAGCATAATTTACACATTGCTTACAAAATTAGTCATTTAAACTGGTGGGTGACACTATGTAATAATTTCAGCATTGATTGTCAATGCAGTACACAATACATAGTATACAATATTATTGCCAAAGTTTTGATTGGTCTACAAAAAAGGATCTATAACCACAATTATGTGTTTCATTCACTGACCAGTCATTACTAAATTGTATAACAAAAGCACCCATGAAAAGAAATCACACTTGCCTAAGTAAATGCAAGTATCTGAAAATGATAAACGAGAAGGTGTTAACTATGGCTAATGCCATATAAAACAATGTTTAACACAAATATAATAATATACAAGACACAATGGTTTATTAATAAGCTTGGCTTAAGCCAGATTCAAAATGTTGAAACATGGATTAAATGGCTATCACTGCGCTTTTTCACAGTATGTTGTACACTGTCCCTTTAATTCCTTGCAGTCATCAGAGCTCTCATTTTGGCACCAAACTCAAAATGAGTCACAATCAATCTGGAAATTTATAAACAACACAGTTTGTATTTTACAACATGGCTATTTGTTTTGGACAAGAACATATATATAATAAGTTGCAGGTTTGTAAACAATGTAAGAATTTTTTACATTAACGGTGTTTAGTCCAGAAAAAAGGATTATTAGTAATAATATGGAGTGCTACAAAAAAATTACAAAGATAGTATTTTAATTGCAATAATACCCACAGATTATGAAACAAATAAGTTAGGAAAAACAAAATAAAACAAAAATACATTTCAATATTTTATTTCTCAGGACATCAATAAGGCTATTAATGTGAAGGGTCAGGAATTCTGAGTGATATTTAAATTTTAGACCTAAGTAGTTGAACTGGTGACATTCTTCGAATTCAACTCTTTTATATCACTACAGACATGACAGAATTAATATTATGCAGCACTGTAGAATACGTTGGCACTAGTTAAACAAAGGACAATAAAGCTGTCCTCACCCTTGTTGTCATGTTAAGGGTAGGTGGTTCAAGCTAAGGGGATAATTATTTTGCTAAGAAATTCATTAAAAATTAACCACTTATGTCTCCCCATCAATTCTGTTTAATTTCCAGAATATGAATATATTAAGGGAACAGTAATTATTGTTTATTAAAGAAGTGGATATGGTGCCAGTGGTGCACTGGTGTCCTCCCAGAGTAAGTAGTCAGTGGGACCTATGTAAGTTTTGAACCATTCTAAAATTGTTTGACTACTTACTCTGAGGGCGCACCAGGGCATTCCTGTTACCATACCCACTACAGCCACTATAGTGATTATGGTGATTGGAGTGTTTCTTTAAGGTTTCATTATTGTTTCAAAGGTACACTACAGTGTCAGAAATATAAACATGTATTCCTCGTAGAGAGGCACTGAAGCAGTGCAACTCTATGGGCAGTGTTCAGCATCTCCATGCAGAGCCTGGAGACACTGTGCAGCACTGACCCAGGAAGCACCTCTAGTGGCTGGCTGAGTGCCTGAAAAAGCAGTGTTTACAATAAAAAGCCTGCAGGGACAGGCTGTAGACACCAGAACAACTACATTAAAGTAGAGTTGTTCTGGTGACTTTAGTGTCCCTTTAAGTTATGTTGATTTTGGCATGTCTCTTACATTCCCATACTGAGACATAAAGCTTTTAGTACATCATTAAACCAATTTATGTTCTGCATTCATTTCAATAGCTAGAAGTAACCATTGCTGCAGTAAACGAAGAGGCAGCTTCTGGTGGTACCTGTACGGTTTCTGTATGATTTTCGTGAAGTTGTGAACTTTGTGATGACCTGCTAGTGCAATTACTACTACACTTTAGCTTGTCATAAAATTAATTAAAGTGAATCTGTCATCTCCTAACGAAGCGTACCTTTACTCTTTTAACAGTCAGCAAATGTTAGAAAAACAAAAACAAATTTAGATATATTCACTAAACTCAAAATTAGTAACAAATTAAAACTCAGCTATAGTCACAGTCTGACAATTTTAACCTAACTGCTGGATTTTGATTTGAGTTTAGTCAATAATCTCTGCTGTATTTCAATAAAATTATTCTCAGTTCTACCCTTTTGCCCCAGGTTTTACGGTAAATATGGCTGCTTCCTTTGACAGCAAGCTAGGTTTGACACATCCATGATATTTTCTAGACACGACGCAGCAGAGTGTTTATCCAATTACAGACAGACAGTTTTAACAATTGAAGAGTGAGACTACACCAAAGAACTCCAGGTACCATAACAAAATCAATGAGGTAAAGCAGTTAAAGGGACACTATAGTCACCAAAGAAGCAGTTTTGGTGTACAGATTATGCCTCTGATGTTTCACTGCCCAATTCCCTGCCATTTAGACGTTAAATCACTTTGTTTCTGTTTATGCAGCCCCAGACACACCTCCCCTGGCTGTGACTGACACAACCTGCATGAAAACAAAATGGTTTAATTTTCAATCACATGTAACTAATGTTAAACTTGTTTATCTCCTTCTCTGTAAATTGAGCTTTAATCATTATATTATTATTAAATTTAATTACTAGCAAGCTGTTAACAGAACAGGAAACACAAAATTCTAAATTAAAGAGTATTTGCAATAAAGGGAGTGTAAACATTAGATGACTATTTACAGGAAGTGTTTAGGAAGGCTGCAGGGAGTAACATGCAGGGAGGTGTGACTAGGGCTGCATAAACACAATTATTTAACCCCTAAATGGCAGAGAATTGATCAGTGGAACTGCAGGGGCATGAGCTATATAAAAAAAAACTGCTTAATAAAGACAACATTGTTTTGGCAACTACAGTGTCCCTTTAAGGTAGAGAGTGTTTAAGCTGTCACTCCCGGTGGACGGTACTTGTGACAACATTTTGTTTATATAAAAAAAAGTCTACACTTTTTTTTTAACAATTTATGCTCCTTGCATAGGTTATGGCATAAGGATGCACCGGCTGAGCCACTTCAAATTTGGGAAAGTAAACAGATACAGAAAGTATCATTATTATATTTAGGCATCTATTTAGTTATATAATACTTTAAAAAATGGGGACTTCTTCCATACTGGAATCCCCCTTATACCCTCTGGAAAAGAATCAGTTGTAGAAAATCCATAGGTGAAACCAGACAAACTTCTTAGGCCTGGATTACAAAGACACAGGGCTTTGTGGCAATAAGTAACACAATATTAATATCATGGTTGATTTTCCTTTAAAGAAATACATTTAAAAAAACATTTTTTTTTTTTTTAAATACTGACCATATTACTAGGCAAGAATCATATTGGAGAAAAACCTTGAGAATTTCTTGGTCATTTCTAGCTTCTCAGATTTTTTCCTTCTTCTGGGGCATGTTAATCACTGAATAGACATAACCTAGTAAAATATGGTCCCATGTCACCATTTCTTTCATACATTGCAGGCAATAAACAAACCTTTGGCAATCATAGCTTTTTAAAGCAAGTTACTTAGATACTGTATAAGAATGTATCTTCCAAGAGAGGCATGTCAAATCTGCATGCTGGTATTCTTCTGAAGCCCTTTGTGCTGTGGAATAGGACTATCACTATACTTCGCCAGATACCAAGGCGTTTACGCAATAAATTGGGATTTATGTTGACAAAGGCTTTGCAAAATACAGGGGAAAATAGCAGAGCTTGAAGAAAGTGGCTGAGAGTGTTTAAGTTTCATCTTGGAACATCTCTTTTGTCACCAACGTGTAAACCAAGGGTGCCCAATAGCTAAAGCCCCAGGTGTTTTAAAACTACAACTTTCATGATGTTTTGCCATACTAAAAAGGTATTTTAAAGACATGCAAAATATCATGGGAGTTGTAGTCTCACATCTGGGGATCTGCCTATTGGCCACCCCTGGTGTAAACTATCTGGTATTTTTAATTAATTTTAGGCCAAAATAACCATTTTGAGAAACTTATCCAAATTCAGCTTTTTTAGACTAAAATGTTAAATTCACTTTATATTCCAGACAATTCACACTTTAGTGTACCTCCTACTATATATCTCTAGCCAGATTTCATGATGGAAGGTGACTTTTTTTGGCTTTGGAATTTCTGCCCAAGCACTAACAGCTACTGCGCTGGTTATTCCAGATTTGGAATAAATAGTAAATTTATTAATATGTTTAAAAACAAATTACAACTCTGGCCAAAAACAGTTTACGGCCTTCTTTGCTTTACGTGGTACCAATTATGTAATATTCTATGTCCTGGTTTTTTTTTTCCTATTGCATATGGAGTTACTTTAATTGAACTCATTTACTTTGACCACAATAAATATTCATAAGGCAGAGACAGATCAGTTACAAAGTTGCACTAAATCAGCAACTTTGAAACATGTCTCGTGAAATGTTCTGTTACCAATTTGTCACATCGCCCACATTGATGTATAGGAGGGTCAGTCTGTGAATCTCTGCAGAAGATCTTCTCGGTGTAAGTTTACACCCTCCCTGAAGCGATCACAGCCAGGAAACTCAATAAGATCTGCTTCTCCCAGGGCACAAACTGTAGTACGGGGTCGGTGAGATTGGAAACCTGAGAAATCAGTAGACACCCCTGTACCCACAGACCTGTAGGGGCGGCGTGTAGAGTACATCTGGCGAACATGGACAGGGGCCCTTCTCCGACACCATTTCCTACGGGCGGCCCGAGCCACCCAGGCAACCAACCCCAAGAGGAGCAGCAGGGCATTGAGGGCAAGCAGTGCTAGGGCTAGCATTTGATAGTTTAGGAAAGGGCGGTCATCATCAGATGGTAAGGTCACAAGCCCAACACAATGGTCCCTTGGGGCAACAGAACATGCTCTTCCACCTATTATACTCTCCACACACACTAAATATGGAGTGTCAGCAGTGAGTTCCTGCAAGGTAAGGGTTTCCGCTGGCCCACGTGGGTAAACAAAACGCTGGAAACGACCACTCTGCCCAAAACGTTCATACAGAACCCTGAAGAAGACAGGGCCATGAGTGTGAGGGATCAAAATTTGCCATCGGACGCGAGCAGTGTTGCTTCCTACGGACTCTACAGACAGGTTCAACAAGTACAGCTTGTTAAATTCACATGGGTCAGACAGAAAAGATGGAGCAACCTGATGCAAGGTCTCAGCTGCTGGAAGGGAAAGATCAGTTTCATCTTGGAATGAATTAAACAAAGGTTCCATGGTGTCAGGATGGCTTTGGTGCAAGGTGCCATCGTTTGGTACATTATTGGGACTAGTTTTAACTGCAGTGTGATCCTTGGGAAATGTTAGCATTTTAGATTTCTGCCCATCTGTCTGTGGTCTCGCAGATGTAGGGCTTAAGGTGCCAGGGAGCTCTGAGTGCAAATACTGGGAGGAAGAGGAATGCAACGTATCATGTCCTGGTGCAAGTGATGCAGCAACAAGACCATCTTGAAGCTTGGAATGCAAAGGTCTCAATGTCTGGGTAGCTGGCTTAGGTGGAGTAGAGTGAGGTTTTTCAGAATCTAGATACAGCTGGCTAGGTCTAACCAAGTTCATATCAGGTTCTGCAAGATGTGCAGTTCTGGTACGTGCAGGCAGCTGATGTAACGTACCCGCGGCATCCTGCACGTTACCGCCTTTTCTCCTGAGTGATATCTCCACACCATGATGTTTTGCTGGACTTTGCTTTTTTCTGCCCAGTGGCCTTTTTGTGGATTTGAGCTGTGGCCTTGATGCAACAGTTTCAAGAGTTGAAGTACTTTGTGATGACAATGTGGATATAGGAAGCCGCAAAACATCTTTCTGAGGGCTTCTCGTTGTTATGTCTAACGGCTCACTCTCTCCTCTTTTTGCAGAAAGATGCCGTACCCCCTCCTTATGTCTTACAGTGCTAATCAGTTCTTGTTCCTGTCCAGCAGGTGTGGCATTAACAACACAACCTCCTACCCCTTGTAAATATGTATCTTCTAAATAGTCTAAATATTTTCCTGCAACTTCCTTGGGCTCCCAGCATTGCACAAACACCGTTAGCATGCGGCTCCTTGTCTGCAGAATTCCCAGAATCCAATGTTTGAGTCCCAACACATGGCAGTCACAGTTCCAGCGATTTCCATCCAATAACAGGCGATAGAGCACTGGATTCCCTGTAAACGATTCCCCAGACAGAAAGCTGAGCATGTTGTGCTGCAAATCCAGCACCCTCAGCCGACTTACTCCACTGAACGTTCCAGGGAGCAAGCTGGACAGTGCATTGCGGCTCAGATTCAGGATCTCCAAATTGTGCAATGGCACCAATAGGCCTTCAGGGAGCTGTTTTAACAAATTGCCATCCAAATAGAGCTCCTGCAGTGCATCAAGTCCCATGAATGTCATATTATGGAGCAAAGAAAGTTGGTTTAAACTGAGAATGAGCTTCGATAACCTTTGTAATCCATGAAAAGCACCTGGTCCCAACTGTTGCAGGTTGTTTCCAGCCATGATGAGGGTGCTGAGTGACCTGAGAGGTAAAAAGGTGGCATGTCGAAGAGAATTCTGAGGGTTCCCAGACATGCTGAGAAGACGCAGCTTTCCCAGTCCAGAAAAAGCATTTTTGCTTATGTTGGTGATTTTATTATTCTCTAGATGTAAATACATCAAGTTCGAGAGAGCAGAGAAAGGTGAACCCTGCAAATTCTGGATGACATTATTGTCTAATCTCAATTTAATCAGAGACACCAAATTGGAGAAGCTGGCCCTGCTAACATTGTGGAGCCGGTTACCATTCACATTTAGAACTTTAAGTTTCCTAAGTTGGAACAAAGCACCAGGGGCAAGCGTGGGGAGAAGATTGTTTCCAAGGTACAACTCCTCTAACTGACTGAGCTTCTCAAAAGCTTTGGGATGGATGAACTGGATCTTATTGTATTGCAGATCTAGTCGCTGCAACTGAGGAAAATGTTGAAAATCCAAACCAGTGACAACGGAGATAAAATTTCCTCCCAGACTGTAGGTTTTGGTTCCACTAGGACTAAAAGGAGGGGTGAATTTGGGTACTGCATGCAATCCTCTGTTGGAGCAAAGGATATGATGGAGGTGCTGACAGTCACATGGCTCTGGGCATTTGTGCTGCAGACAACAGCAGAGGCTGCAAGCTACCAACATCAGCAGCTCTAAAATGACAGATTTTTCCATGTCACTTGGGGCAGGTTACAAAGCAACCCAACTGTGTGCATCCCCTCCCTGTGTGCAGGATTGCTTGGAGTTCTATTGGAGTGTTTCTAGATAATTGTGCATTGGAACCCCAAGTTCTAACCATCTCGCAGGGTTACATTATTTAGTGACTTAATTTCAAGTTTAGAACGTTCAAGGTATAAAACACTCTGATTGCCAGCTTCAACACATAATGTATTCTAGAGTCATGAGCAACATGATAACTCACTGTGCATTCTACAGGTAGCATCCATAGCACAGAAGGCAGGTTAGTTGCCGCAGTCAGAGTGCAGGGTAGGTCCTCTCTGCCCCAGGTGAAGTCCACAGAAGTATTGGATGAGTTGGGATCATTGAGAGCTCCAGGAGTGGGTTTGTAGGAATTGCTGCTCTGGCGACTTGTTTTGCAGTTTGCCAGTAGTTCCTAGTGTCATAGTAAATCACTTTTCAAAAGCTAATGTTCAGGACTTTTCCAGTTTGTTCTCCTATCGCCTGAAGTTCATGCAAGGATCTAGGGGTCCGAGCCATCCTCCGTTCTGCTGTGTGGTCATGCTAGCTGAAGATCTAGAAGACGGACCCTTGCTGTTACTCTGTATCTGCAGGAATTCCACACAATGTATCCAGAGCTCAGACAAGACCAAGGCTGAGAATCCTGAGAGAAGGCGGAAATGCGTGCGTCCCACACTGGCTCCCTGGAGAGTGTGAGCGAGGAAAGAGGATACTGAGAGGCAGCCTGGAACTGCTGGTGGGAGGAGAATCCATCCAGCACATGGGAGGAAGAGAACACTCACTGTAATGGGGGAGAACGAGCCCCTCAGAACAAAGGGCAGCACTGAGCCAAAGCCAAACACAGCTCCCCCCCCCCCTTCCCTTCATGGACCTGTTACACATTGATCTCATTAGTCCTTCCATTCACAGGGAAACTACCTTACAGACAGAGGATAGGGAAAAACCACTCAGGATTAATCCATTTAACATTCATAGGGAGGGAAGCAGCAATATATCCTGTCTGATCATATGGTCATATATAGAATAAATCTAGGATATAATATACAATTCAGTGTTATTGATTGCAATTATTTATTTAGTGAATTGTCTGACCTTCTGCATCCATTATTTATTTGTTCTCTGTAAGTTGCTTTGTATTTATACATAAAGAAAATTTACTGAATTACTTCATTTATTTATATATATATTCATTTACCATCCCACTTAGCCACCAATGAAAGCAAAAGAAGGGCGATTTCTAGGGGGAATGCTGTTACCCTACAAGGTGAATGGTTAAATCATTATTAATGCATTAGCAAATGTTCAATTAAGGCTTTCATAATGATTTCAATAATAATAAAAAATAAAAAAAAACTCAAAATAAAAGAAAAATACACTTAATATTTTACCAAGTGTACATAAGCCATTAGACAGCTCTATTTATATTATTAGGACTTGGAGGGAAGGAATGCATGAGAAACTTTCACAGAGAAAAAGCAAGGTACATTGATAAATGCATGTTCTGGTCTGTCTGCGAGTGGTTGGAGTTATATCATGGGCAATTAGTCACTTTTCCTAATTCAGCTGCTCTATCAATAATGACTTGGTAAGAGGAACTGTGGAGGCAGAAGCAGTGTTTCAGTCTCCTCAGCCACAGTGGAAGAATAAATGTACACTTGCTTGAAATCCCACTAATCTCAGGCAGGCTGGAAAGTGGATGTGTATAGGAGACTTAAGAACACGTTCAATTCGGACACCCGATTTTCTGCCGAATGTTCGTTGAGCTTGGCAGAATTTCAATATCAAGATTCCGACTCGGAAACCAAATCAGAAAAAATATATATACCCCATATATTATGTAGATTTTTTTATGTTTACTGATAAGAGCTTTTTAACACTGATTAAATATAACCAATAGAGGGAAAAACACAAAAAGCAGTAAATAAATAAATAACAGTTAATCTATTTATATATTATTTATTCAGGGTTCAAAATTTGCAATTACAACATTTCACTGTAAAGAGTAGAAATTCACCCCTGATGAGTATGCCACGGCTTGCAGCGCAGGACTTTAATCCCTTAAGACCGCAGCCAAATGTACACTGTGACGAAGTGGCTACTAAAAAAGACTGGACATACCCCATTTGCAATACCATGGGTTGTCTACTTTGGAAATGGTATGCCATCATAGGGGTAATTTTAATTCCTGGGCTACCGTATGGTCTCAAAGGCAACATAACCAACCTGGCGAATTTTAATGTGAAAAATCTGAAATGCAAACCTTATATTTGACTCTGTAACTTTTGAAAACACCATAAAACCTGTACATGATCTCGATGCAACCAATCCCGCTATACAAAAAGTTGATACTCCGCCACCTGCTAAACGCGGCCAAAGCGACCATACCAGGCTCGCAGAATGGACGTCGGCAGGGACAGGGCCCGCATAACACAAATCATACCTTATAAAGAATAAACACAAGGACGTATATATAAAAACCCAAAGGTGATATATACAAATAGAGGGTGGTTAGGAACAATACAACCTGGATATGGCTGAAAATATTCAGCCATATCCAGGTTGTATTGTTCCTAACCACCCTCTATTTGTATATGTCACCTTTGGGTTTTTATATATACGTCCTTGTGTTTATTCTTTATAGTGTGTGTGTGAGGTACACTTCTTTGAGGGTGTGTTCTTTTAGTGTATCATATAGTAAGCATATCCTTTTTTGTACAAATCATACCTTACATCCCCTTACCATACCTTTCCACACTATCCTACTCTCTCTTCTCGTTTTATCTTTGCCGGCTGTCGGGATGACGGGGCGGGGGGGCTGGGAGTCGGGGTAGGAGGGAGAGACCTCATGATACACAGATTGCTAAACCTGTAGTAGATGAAACACACTTAACAAATCCACAACCCGTCACTGATCCCATCTCTTATGCGTTTTGTGACACATATCATTATACAATCTAAACACAGAGAGCATAGCTGAAGATTCGGCACATAACACTCACAACGCATCAGGACTTACCTGCACTCAACACACACCTCTCTCTCCTTACAGACCTCTTGCACCCCGGTGGGAACAAGGAAGTCTACTACAGCATACCCTATGTCAACATCAACAGCAATATGGAGGCGAGGACAGGTGAATCAGGCGAAACACAGGTTCCTCCACAAAGATACATGGTATCACCATCAATTAATGAACACTAACCTTAGTGGCGGAGACCACGCGACCACAATAGAATAGATGAAAGCAGACACGAACACTAGCACATATGGGTTAGGGGGAGTGCTGACCCCCAGGCAGTAAACAAATGGTAACCAAGCAGTCGCAAAAATCGATGCTCCTCTGAGACAGTAGCCCAGACCCGAGACTACCACCTTTCTAGCTTAACGAGACTACCACCTTTCTAGCTTGTAACACACACACTTAGCATTAAAGATACACACTAAGACGTACCTGGTAACCCGGGTCTCCAGACTACGAAACAAGACAAATTACACAGACTGACTTAGAACATCAACCCATCTCGACCCAGGAGGAACTTATAGAACAGGGAATATCACTACCCAAGGTCTAGAACATTATTAAAACGGATTGTGATAGGTGGGAGACACAACCTAGGCAACATATGCTCTCACAATGACTCCCTGAGGTTTGCGGGATTCACGAGACTAACCAGAAACAGAGCCTATGATCTACTGGTCTTGCATATACTTTTAAACCTTCCCAACGTACAAATGGTATAAGTTTATGTTTATTGAAATCATTATGGTTAAAGAAACTTGCGAGACTTACTGTTCAGTTTTTATATATAAAGTAAACGTAAAAACCACACTCAAACAAAGGCAATATCACAAGGGACCTATGTGTCCGTCATTATGGTGGGCCTGCGAGCCCAGATAACTGTGTTTGTCACCTGATACCAGTTCTCGGATACACGACACAATTGTTTGTGAACTTCCTATTTCTTCAGTGATCTGCGAATCTCGAGTTTGTATATATACACATTGGAAAATAAAAATCAGATTTACAAAAAAAAAAAAACCTGTACATGAGGGGTACTGTTATACTCGGGAGACTTCGCTGAACACAAATATTAGTGTTTCAAAACAGTATAACGTATCACAACAATTATATCGTCAGTGTAAGTGCCATTTGTGTGTGAAAAATGCAAAAAATGTCACTGTCACTGACGATATCGTCGTAATACATTTTACTGTTTCGAAACACTAATATTTGTGTTCAGCGAAGTCTCCCGAGTAAAACAGTACCCCCCATGTACAGGTTTTATGGTGTCTTGGAAAGTTACAGGGTTAACTATAGTGCTAGCAAATTAAATTCCCTGAACTTTTGGCCTGGGTTGTCAGGCAGGTCCTGCAAATTGTAATTAAAGGAACACTATAGTCACCTAAATTACTTTAGCTAAATAAAGCAGTTTCAGTGTATAGATCATTCCCCTGCAATTTCACTGCTCAGGGGTTAAATCACTTTGTTTCTGTTTATGCAGCCCTAGCCACACCTCCCCTAGCTATGATTGACAGAGCCTGCATAAAAAAAAACCTGGTTTCACTTTCAAACAGATGTAATTTACCTTAAATAATTGTATCGCAATCTCTAAATTGAACTTTAATCACATACATGAGGCTCTTGCAGGGTCTAGCAAGCTATTAACATAGCAGAGGATAAGAAAATCTTAATTAAACAGAACTTGCAATAAAGAAAGCCTAAATAGGGCTCTCTTAACAGGAAGTGTTTATGGATGGCTGTGCAAGTCACATGCAGGGAAGTGTGACTAGGCTTCATAAACAAAGGGATTTAACTCCTAAATGGCAGAGGATTGAGCAGTGAGGCTGCAGGGGCATGTTCTATACACCAAAACTGCTTCATTAAGCTAAAGTTGTTCAGGTGACTATAGTGTCCCTTTAATAAAATGACTTAATTATGTGAAATTATTACATAAATATATACGTAGAATTATTATATATATACGTGTGTATATATGTATATAATTTTTTTAAATTATTTTTATTTATATATAGGTATATATATAGTGATATATACGTATATACTTATGTATATAGATATATATTATTTCGTTCTACATGTATTTTGATATCAGTATATATATATATATTAATTTTAAAATACAGTTAGAACGAAATTACACATGTATATATATTTTTTATTTCTTTATTTCTTTATTTTATTTTTTAACGTATTTAAATATTTATTTATTTTTTATTATGTATAAATATATATATATATATAATGAAAATTATATAAATATTTAATCAATATCATTGTACGTGTATTTTGATATTAATATATATATATATATAATTATGTATATATTAATATTAAAATACACTTAGTTTATGTGTGTGTATATATATATATATATATATATATATATATACTTAGATCATATATATATAATAAATATATATATGATCTAAGTATATATTATTTATTTTTACACTGATTTTAACATGTTTTATTTCATTTTCAGACAGCAGGGGGAGTACCTGTCATAACAGGCACTCCCCCTGCTGGCAATGCCTTCTCGCGATCACATGGCCCAGGGGGGCCAAAGAGGACAGAGGGGGACTCTCTGGTCTCCCAGGTGAGTCCCCATACCGCGATTGCCGGCGTGGGATTGCTGGCGACCGGGTAAGTACATAAGATCGCAGGGCGTTCTGTGCCGTCTTGCGGCGTTTAGAGCCATCAAAATAGGGACGGCATAGAATGCCCTGTGGTCTTAAGGGGTTAAATTTAAAACCCTGAATATTTCAATACAGGATTTTTTGTACTGCTCCTCCATTTCCCCCCCTCTATTGCTCACTTCTCACTTGATCTGTGAATAAAACATTTAGTAACTCTTGCCGAGCCAATCATCTTTTTGTGGGACCACTGATGGAATTCAGAATCTAATCCTGAACAGAACACATTCTGCATTGCACAGCTCAGTTAGGACATGATTCAGGCATGTCAGCACCTAACTGGCCCAAAATGAATCTCATATCATATACGCCACACACTCTCTTATTATCGTATACAGAAAAGCCTGAAAGATTCCCATGCTCTTTATGATATAGTGCAATATAGGCTGCAATAATACTCTGCTTGCCAAACTGAAACTGTTTTCTTTATTGGAATAGTTTGTGCATGATGTTAGAAGAGGTCAGACTTGCATGCATACAAAGCATATGTCTACACAGCATCTCCAGTCATCCTCACCCCCTGCAGGACATCAGGAAATTCCAGAGGGTCCAAGATGACAGGAGAAACCAATAATGTGGTTAATGGCAGGGGGATCAGAAACATACAGGGCCATGCTGCAAGGCACTCAGTTCTAAAAATGACTTGTGCGTAACATGTATATCTCAAGTTGGACTTAGTAAAGTCTCCCATAGGCACCAAAAGTCACTAAACCAGGTTTCCACAACTGTCCCAGAATTCCCAGCTTTAGAAGTGCATAAATCCACACAGACGGGTATCATGTTTCAGACTTCATACTGCAATTCTGCAGATATATATATATATATATATATATATATATATTAAATGATGTGCCTGTAACTTTTAGAGTTAGCTCATGTTTACAAATCCTATACTGTATAATGGGTGACATCAGTGACACGTCCACTTACTACAATACAATTACAGGTTTTTATATAGTGCCATCATATTCAGCAGCGCTATACAATAGGTACACAAGAGAAGCACTAAATTTTTGCAAAACATGATTGACAAACTAGAAAAATAAGTGAAGAGTGACCTGCCCAAACAAGCTTGAAATTTAAAAGTGTGACTTATGATGGCATATTGGTGGCAGTAAAAGTGTGACTTATGATGGCATATTGGTGGCAGTGGAGGCATTTTGCTACTTGTCAATTCTACTAATATAGAGACTCATTAAGTATTTTAGTAAAAAGACTAATACTTTGTAGTGAGACCAAACATGATAAACACCCCCACATCTCCTCAAACCCCCCACCTTGTGTCACTCTCTACATATTTGTCCCTTGTATCCAGTGGTGGGATTCAGCCGGTTCGTGCAAACCTATTACTAACATTTAACAAGTTTGCTGAACCGTTAACGAAGCAGATATCCGCCTGGAACGCAGAAATCACTTGTCAGACATGCAGGCAGCATGCGGCTCCATAAGGGAATCGAACACACACTAAGTCAGCTGGGGGAGAGCCTCATGCTCTGCGTAGGAGCGCCGGGTGTCACGTGACTAGCTGGCGCTCAGTGTGAAGGAGGCAGATTGCACTGCTGGACGTAATTGAGCAGAGCCGGCGCTAACTTCATCCAGGGTGCCGGCTCTGTGACTGACAGGCTGCCTGCCATTTGGGGAAGGAGGGAGGGAGAGAAGGGGACATGGAGAGAAGAGCAAGGATCATGGAGGGGGACAGGATTGGTAGGGAACATGGAGAGAAGGGGCAAGGGGACAGGAATGTTAGGGGAACATAGAGAGAAGGGCAAGGGCCATGGAGGGGAGGGAGACAGGAATAGTAGGGAACATGGAGAGAAGAGCAAGGGACATGTATGGAAGGGGGACAGGAATAATAGGGGGACATG